CTTGGCCGAAGGATGCTCGAGACGTAATTAGAATAAATCCCTTAATCCCTATGGTAGAAGAAGGATTTTAAAGGTTTTACCTCTATTTCCATTATTTGGCCCCGCCCATCTGCCGCCAGGGGGGCCACACCCACCGTTTATACAAAAGCGAGTCCTCTTGGCCGAAGGATGCTCGAGACGTAATTAGAATAAATCCCTTAATCCCTATGGTAGAAGAAGGATTTTAAAGGTTTTACCTCTATTTCCATTATTTGGCCCTGTCCCTCTGACCCCAGGGGGGCCTGCACACCCACCATATATACAAAATTGTGTCCCCTTGACTCGAGGATGTTCCAGACTAAATTAGGATACATTCCCTAATCCCTTGGGTAGAAGAAGGATTTTAAAGGTTTTACCTCTATTTCCCCTATTCGGCCCCGCCGCTCTGCCCCCAGGGTGACCGCACCCACCATTTATACACAATTGAGTCCCCTTGACCCAAGATGCTCCAGACCAAATTTGGCTGAAATCCCTTCATCCCTATGGTATTAGGATTTTAGGGGGGCCACACCCACCGTTTATACAAAATTGAGTCCCCTTGGCCCAAGTATGCTCCAGACTAAATAAGGATAAAATCCCTTAATTCCTACGGTAGTAGAAGGATTTTAAAGCCCCGCCCCTCTGCCCCCATGGGGGCCACACCCACCGTTTATAAAAAAATAATTCCCCTTGGCCTAAGGATGATCCAGACCAAATTTAGTCAAAATCTACTTGGCTGTTCAGGACTTTAAGTAGCGTTTTAAAGGAAAAGTTGACAGACGGACGACAGGCGCTTTGGTATGGCATAAGTTCACAATGGCCCTTCAGACAAGGTGAGCTAAAAACAAGTCAAAGTATTGCAAGGCAATTCATATTCTCCCACCGGTAATGATTTCTATATTTATCAAACAGTACACTTATGTCAGGAAGCATAGGTCACAGTGAGGTCATAATGACCTACTTCTTGCACTCCCCTGTCCCAAGATGTCCTTGTACACCAACTCTGGTAACTCCAAGTGAAATAGTATAGAAGATATGCCCCAGACAAACTTTTTCAAAAGTGAAGGTCAAAGGTCAAGTCATAGGTCACAGTGACCTAATTCTTGCACACTGCACTTCGTCATTCCAAGATGTCCTTGTTCATCAAATTTGGTTACTGTCCTGGACAAACTTTCGGACAGTAGGACAGACAAAGTGCAAACCTGTAGTCAAGTGATAACTAATACCCCCCCACTCTCATATTAACTAGAACTGTAAGCCAAGTGATAACTAATACCCCCCACTCCCATATAAACTAGAACTGTAAGCCAAGTGATAACTAATACCCCCCACTATCATATAAACTAGAACTGTAAGCCAAGTGATAAATAATACCCCCCACTTTCATATTAACTAGAACTGTAAGCCAAGTGACAACTAATACCCCCACTCCCATATAAACTAGAACTGTAAGCCAAGGCTTAAAACTAATACCCCCACTCTCATATAAACTAGAACTGTAAGCCAAGTGATAACTAATACCCCCACTCTCATATAAACTAGAACTGTAAGTCAAGTGATAACTAATACCCCCCACTCCCATATAAACAAGAGGTTTTACTTCTATTTCCCCTATTGGGCCCCGCCCCTAAGGTCCCAGGGGGGTCACACCCACTGTTTATACAAAATTGGTTCCCCTTAATTTACCCAAGGATGTTCCACACCAAATATGGACCAAATCCTTTTATTCCTACAGTAGAAGAAGGATTTTAAAAAACAATTCGCTATGTTTTCCCTATTGGGCCCCGCCCCTCAGGCCCCTGGCTGGCCAGACCCACGGTTTATACAAAATTGGTTCCCTTTCACCCAAGGATGCTTCAGACCAAATATGGAACAAATCTTTTCATTCCTACAGAAGAAGAAGGATTTTAAAGAATTTGCTATATTTCCCCTATTGGGCCCCGCCCCCCAGCCCCCAGAGGGGCAAGACCCACCGTTTATACAAAGTTGGTTCCCCTTCACCCAAGAATGCTTCAGACCAAATCCTTTCATTCCTACAGAATAAGAAGGATTTTTAAGAATTTGCTATGTTTCCCCTATTGGGACCCGCCCCTCAGGCCCCTGGGGGGCCAGACCAACGGTTTATACAAAATGTGTTCCCCTTCTCCCAAGGATGCTTCTGACCAAAAATGTAACAAATCCTTTCCTTCCTACAGAAGAAGAAGGATTTTAAAGAATTTGCTATATTTCCCCTATTTGGCACCAACCCTCATGGCCCCCAGGGGGGCCAGACCCACCATTTATACAAAATTGAGCCCCCTTGGCCTAAGGATGCTCCAGACTAAATTAGGATAATATCCCTTAATCCCTACCGTAGAAGAAGGATTTTAAAGGTTTTACCTCTATTTCCTTTATTGGGCCCCGCACCTCAGCTCCCAGGGGGGCCAGTGTGCACCCACCATTTATACTAAATTGAGTCTCCGTGGCCTAAGGATGCTCCAGACCAAATTTAGTCAAAATCTACTTGGCCGTTCAGGACTAGTAGTGTTTTAAAGGAAAAGTTGACGGACGGACGGACGGACGGACAGACAATGGACGCTGCGGTATGGCATAAGCTCACCATGGTCCTTCGGACACGGTGAGCTAACTAGAACTGTAAGCCAAGTGATAACTAATACCCCCACTCCCATATAAACTAGAACTGTAAGCAAAGTGATAACTAATACCCCCCTCTCTCATATAAACTAGAACTGTAAGCGAAGTGATAACTAATACCCCCCACTCTCATATAAACTAGAACTGTAAACCAAGTGATAACTAATACCCCTCACTCTCATATAAACTAGAACTGTGAGTCAAGTAATAACTAATACCCCCCCACTCTCATAGACTATAAAATGTCTCTAAGACATAAATGTCCCCGCTGCCATGTGAAATTAGTTTCAGTATTCTATAAAAATTTACAACCACTTTGATTTTGATACCCTGAAACATGCACACACACAAGGTACTACACTTAAAGTTGATTATAATATTCATATGTTTTTTCTGTATGTTATTACCATCCTGAAACACAAGGATGTCAGAGGTACACCCATACTTGACCTTTATATAAAATTTGACCAAAATCTGTGAAAGAATGAGGTTGCTAAGTAGGTATGTCACGGTTCAGGAATTTTTCAGTTCGGTTCGGTTATCATTTTTGTTGTCGGTTTTTCAGTTATTTCGGTTCGGTTCAGGCAACTTTTTAATCTATGTATTTTATATACACAATCACAAGTAGAATACGTAAAAAAACTTCATTATGTACACACTTAAACTGTTAAACAGTAATATACAACTGTCTACTAGTCCTCTTCTGAGGGTATTGAGTATATAACACTAATGCAAGGAACCTGTCACTTGTATTAGGTATTTCGATGTCCACAACTGTCCCTTCTTAAGTTGACTTATTGAAACATCTATGTAATATATATTTGCTTCATTATATCGTGCAAATATCTCCATTGCACAATCTATGTACTTACTGGATAATCATGTTCTTTCCTTTATTATATCATGGCTTGCAAAATTTTCAGTCAGCGTATTAACAAAGTTGCTAGTGCTAACCTACCTCTTGTTTATTATGCATGTATGCATGTTGTTCATGCACCTTAGGTTTTGACAATCTGACTAGAATCATAAATAAAAAAACAATATTAAATTGGTGTACTTTACGGGATCTTACTCATCAATGTCCGCCCATATCATACATAATATACATATATATACTGCAACGAAATCGGGTTAAAGTCATGCGTAAAACTTTTTCAATGCCGCAAAGGATCTCATTTTAATTAGATTTAGTAAGGCCTTGTACGCGTGTTGTCTATTCTTTCTGCACTGGGCCCATGTGTTGAATCCAGTTTCGTTCGTAGCTGCTGATTTCAAAGTTATATTAGATGTATAGGCCGACATTGATTGAAGAGGTAAATCCTGAGAAGTGTCTAATTTGTGTTTATACATATATCCAGTGTTCAGTTACCGTCTTGTTCACAAGACCGCCTGCGACGAGAAAATCCAAGTAGAAGCTGCCATTTCAAACCATCCTAAAGAACATGCACAGTCGTACTTATTATTGCGGTTGCATGACTATGGAGTCAAGGGCGTGTATCGATCGAGATATGACACAAATGATATACGCCTTTGCTGCTACCAGACAACTACGACCCACTTATACAGAACCGAACCGAAATACGGAAATTATATACCGAACCGAACCCTGGTCTTTTGAACCGCGGTTAACCATGACATCCCTATTGCTAAGTGTTTAAATTGAATCAGTTGACGATTTTCTATATATAGCAAGTGTGACCTTGGCCTTGACCTTCGATCCCTGAAACACAATGATGTCCGAAGTATTCTCATACTTGACCTTTGTATAAAGTTTGACCAATATCTGTCAAAGAATGAAGTTGCTAAGTGTTTACATTGAATCGGGATGGGATGCGACAGGACGGGTGTTTACATTGTGTTGGACGCGACGCAACAACACATGTGTTTACATTGAATCGGGAAGCAGCGGGACTGACATGGGCAACACTATATGCCCCTCCATTTTATGGCCGGGCATAAAAACATGTTCATATTATATTTTTCACCATTCCATGTTTACTTCAGCTGATAAAACTCACCTATCATGGCTGCTATCTTGGGACTGAACTCTGTAAAATAAAGAGATTTACATTACATCTGAATTAGTACACTAAAAAATATGAATAAATGGAGAAATACAGAGAAAATAATTCTTTGAATAACAATATGCAGTGACCTTTGAAACAGGAACTCATCCGAGGCATTCTCATACTTGAAATCTGTATAAACTTTAGATTAAAATTTGTTAAGAAACTAGAAAATGTCTGTAAGACATAAATGCCCCCGTTGCCATACGAAATTAGTTTCAGTGCTCTATAAAAAGTTACAACCACTTTGATCTTGATACCCTGAAACATGCATGCACACATAAGGTACTTCACTTAAAGTTGATAAGTTGACTTTAATATTCATATGTTTTTTTCTGTATGTTATTACCATCCTGAAACAAGGATGTCAGAGGTATACCCATATTTGACCTTTGTATAAAGTTTGACCAAAATCTGTCAAAGAATGAAGTTGCTAAGTGTTACATTGAATCGGGACTGGTGTTTACATTGAAGCGGGACGGGACGCGACAAGACGGGATGCGATGGGACGGACATGGGCAACACTCTATGCCCCACATTTTATGGTGGGGGCATAATGAAGTAGCTAGAGTGATGACACTGAATCGTTTGATGACTTTCTATATATAACAACAGTGACCTTGGCCTTGGCCTTGGAAACCTGAAACACAAAAATGTCTGACCTTTGTATAAGTTTTAATCAAATTCCATCAGTAAGTTACAATTGTTTGTAGACTGATGACACGGAATTGGATGATGATTTCTATATATATCAATGATGACCTTGGCCTTGACCTTGGAATCCTGAATTCTTATACTTGAAATCTGTATAAAATTTGATCAAAATCTAACAAAGAATGAAGTTTCTAGAGTATTTTAACTGACAGATAAAGACATGGGCAGCACTATATGCCCTCCAGTATCACAATACTGTAATGTATCACAATACTGTAATGTATCACAATACTATTGTAATGTATCACAATACTATTGTAATGTATCACAATACTATTGTAATGTATCACAATACTGTAATGTATCACAATACTATTGTTATGTATTACAATACTATTGTAATGTATCACAATACTGTTATGTATCACAATACTATTGTAATGTATCACAATACTATTGTATCACAATACTATTGTAATGTATCACAATACTGTAATGTATCGCAATACTGTAATGTTTCACAATACTATTGTAACGTATCACAATACTGTTGTAATGTATCACAATATTGTAACGTATCACAATACTTTAGTTTAATAACATACAACACCCTGCTATGGTTGTATATATAAATACTGTATCATATAGCTGTCAAACATACCTCTGACCTGTCTACTGTCTGTTGCCATGACATCAAGTGTTTCTCTCAAGACACTGACATCTTCCGTCAATGTACTAATTTCTGCTGAAAGTAAACAAAAAGTAACGTGCCATTTTTATACCATTCAATATACCCAAATTTTAAACTGTAACAAGACCCTGAACCATGAATATGTAATTTCCTAGAAAAATATTCATCATTACACATGTTATTGACAACATCCTATGATCCTAAGGCAGTTCATGCTTAACCGTGGTCATTATGATATAGATGAAGTAATTCTGTCTAGTCATGCCTACGTTATATAATTGTACCTGACATCTTGTCAGTAAGACACGGACAAGGATTTCGTCTCATCTATTTTATGAATCACTGAGTTCCAGGTAGGTACAGTATAAAAGACCTAAGAACATTCATGTTTTTGTCGACTACTAAGTGTACTGCCATGCTGGCAGCACGCTACACCAGTACATAATATACAAGTATATATCAACAACAAGAGGCCCAATAGGCCTGCATCGATCACCTGGTATAAATCTCACAATTGTTACCTTAAAAGTGAACTAACTATTTGAACAAACTTGGTAGTCCTTCTTCCCAGCATGCTATTGGCCAAATACCATCACCCTAGCTATAGGCCTCTTGGTTATTGAGAAGCAGTTGTTTAAAGTAAAAAGTTGACCTAGGACAGACATTGGATAGACGGATGGACAGACAGACAGACAAGCTGATTCCAGTATACCCCCCTAAGTTCGTTGCGGGGGGTATAATTATGGTACACACCATCATAAGACCTTTATAAGTTCTATGTATTTTTGTTTGATCTTTTCCCCTCATTTGTCTCCTGTTATTTTATTGGATTGATAGTTTTGTCAACAGTAAATACATTTTGTGGTAATTTTCAAATGAACTTTCACACAAGCAAGTTTGAGAGTGTTCTTTCAAACTAATTCCATTGTTAACTCCTTAAACTAATTTCATTGAAAAATAGTATCACAACCGTGACAAGGTGAAATCTTATAATCCTAGATGACTGCCTGGCAGCCATCTTGTTATTTCTAATCTCAAAATATAATATTCAGAATTATTGACCAAAGGCAATCTACGTATGAAATTTGAGAAAGATCTGTTCAGTTATTCTTCAGAAATGCCTGGCAGCCATCTTGGTTATTTTATCAGTCTTAAAGAGACAATTTAGTGAAGTGATTTTTGTTTTTTATAACATTGTCACAAAATTCTTCATGATTCTATAGTTGGATACTCCTAGCCGTACGTTTTAGCGGCACAAAAATGTCTTTCCAGCCGAGGAAAGAAGGTAACTTCTCGTTTTATTCACCTAGCCTCTCTGGAATACAAGTACATGCATTTATCTGAATCAAAAATCATCTTCAAACATCATCTTAATCTCAAACATTGTAATAAATGATCGAGTGATCTATTAATATTGTACTTTCTGCGGTTTGAAATTCTCCCTGCGCCACCCTCTCATTGCGTGTATGCTTTAATCAAACCTGTTAGTTTTTATTCCAATCCAAATATGAACAGAAATATCTAATTAAAGGCATATATTATGATAATTATAATTCTTACTTGCGATGTAATGTGTTAATTCAAGAATGTGTTATGTGTGAACTCAGACTCGTAACTGGCACTGTGTTGTCAGTCGACAGCGCATTGCTCTACATGCTTAATTCTCACTTAAAGGCCTGGATATTGTGTTATTTCTGTCATAGCTACTTTACCATAGGCTTTCCCAAAAGATGAAACTGACCACACTGGACGTTGGCATCAGGTCAGGTCATTATCAACTACGAAAACTTTCTTTAGGATATATTTATTTTCTGTATCGACTCGATTTTCAAGTTGTCACTTGACTAAATAGCCTCTTTAAAATAAAACATGCATTTCAAGGACTATGGGGAAATTTACAAATGAGATTTGGGAAAGATTCTTCCAGTAATTCTTGGGAAATAGTGATACTAAGAATTATATAAGGACAGCCATGGGACAATGGACAAAGGGCGATTTGAACAACTCGCCATCTAGATTTGATATATATGACTTAAATAACCTGACAATCCAACATACAAGTCTAACCTACCTTTTATTTTCACTAGAAGTTTCTCTATGTATTCATTTGTCATTCTGTGGTCCATCTCCCATTTAAGTACATTGTCCACTGCCACTACGAACCGGTCTGTATTCAGTTCACTATTTTGTATGTCCTCCACACTTCGGCAGATGATGCCACATCTAGTCTGAAAATCGTCATCAGAAAGGGAGGCATTGACTGCATGTGCAACCTGATTTCGCTGCTCACGTAGACGGTAGATGTTGGCCGACAGTGATCTGTCTGCTTCATCTAGTAATTTATCCTGATCTTTCTGAGGAAGTGGAATATCTCCAATTATTCTTAGAAGGCTGCAAAGAATTGATGTGTCCAAATCCTTCACAGAACCTTGATACACCCCACCTTGAGGATACAAAATGTTCTTTTGAAAATTCATTAACACTTTACAGATCTGAGTTTTCTTGTCGGTAAGTTCTTGAGAGAGTCCTGATGCTGGCGGCAACTTAGTGTTGAGCAAATCTTGCAATAAGTCTGGGATGACATCAAATACCAACATGCATATCCGGAGAAAATTTTGTTTTCCCTTAGAAGGCATGTCATTGGCAGCCATCATTGATTTGGTTTAAATGATGAAAGCAAGGATGATGCTGGAAAATAGATAAACTATGTCAGAATATCATCACAGGCTCAGTTCAAGGAGGGCAGGGGTATACATACAGCTATAATTATGGCCAAGTATCCACTTATGAACACACAGTTATAATTATGGCCAAGTATCCACTTGGGAACACACAGTTATAAATTATGGCCAAGTATCCACTTGGGAAAACACAGTTATAATTATGGCCAAGTATCCACTTGGGAACACAGTTATAATTATGGCCAAGTATCCACTTGGGAACACACAGTTATAATTATGGCCAAGTATCCACTTGGGAACACACAGTTATAATTATGGCCAAGTATCCACTTGGGAACACACAGTTATAAATTATGGCCAAGTATCCACTTGGGAACACACAGTTATAATTATGGCCAAGTATCCACTTGGGAACACAGTTATAATTATGGCCAAGTATCCACTTGGGAACACACAGTTATAATTATGGCCAAGTATCCACTTGGGAACACACAGTTATAATTATGGCCAAGTATCCACTTGGGAACACACAGTTATAATTATGGCCAAGTATCCACTTGGGAACACACAGTTATAATTATGGCCAAGTATCCACTTGGGAACACACAGTTATAATTATGGCCAAGTATCCACTTGGGAACACACAGTTATAATTATGGCCAAGTATCCACTTGGGAACACACAGTTATAATTATGGCCAAGTATCCACTTGGGAACACACAGTTATAATTATGGCCAAGTATCCACTTGGGAACACACAGTTATAAATTATGGCCAAGTATCCACTTGGGAAAACACACCCATACCGAAAAAAGTTACAAAAAAGTTACTTCTATTTAGGTACAAAAAAGTTATAACTTTTGATGCTAGATTGGAACCTTGTGAGAAGAGAGTTTCAATCTAGTACTAAAAAGTTACAAAAAGTTATTAAAAAGTTACACTCAAACACTTTGTTCAGTTCAATCATTACTTTATTTGCAAACAAAAGGTACACAAAAGTTACATTTAGCCACTTAAGCACTAGTGAAAAAGGTATCATAAAGTTATAACTTTATTTAGTTACTAAAAAGGTACAAAAAAGTTATGCTTTTCTGAGATACTGAAAAGGTACAGAAACAGTTCTAGATATAGTAAAAAGGTACAATAAAGTTATAACTTTATTTAGTTACTAAAAAGGTACAAAAAAGTTATGCTTTTCTGAGATACTGAAAAGGTACAGAAACAGTTCTAGTAAAAAGGTACAATAAAGTTATAACTTTATTTAGGTACTAAAAAGGTACAAAAAAGTTATGCTTTTCTGAGATACTGAAAAGGTACAGAAACAGTTCTAGTAAAAAGGTACAATAAAGTTATAACTTTATTTAGGTACTAAAAAGGTACAAAAAAGTTATGCTTTTCTGAGATACTGAAAAGGTACAGAAACAGTTCTAGTAAAAAGGTACAATAAAGTTATAACTTTATTTAGGTACTAAAAAGGTACAAAAAAGTTATGCTTTTCTGAGATACTGAAAAGGTACAGAAACAGTTCTAGTAAAAAGGTACAATAAAGTTATAACTTTATTTAGTTACTAAAAAGGTACAAAAAAGTTATGCTTTTCTGAGATACTGAAAAGGTACAGAAACAGTTCTAGTAATAGTAAAAAGGTACAATAAAGTTATAACTTTATTTAGTTACTAAAAAGGTACAAAAAAGTTATGCTTTTCTGAGATACTGAAAAGGTACAGAAACAGTTCTAGTAAAAAGGTACAATAAAGTTATAACTTTATTTAGGTACTAAAAAGGTACAAAAAAGTTATGCTTTTCTGAGATACTGAAAAGGTACAGAAACAGTTCTAGTAAAAAGGTACAATAAAGTTATAACTTTATTTAGGTACTAAAAAGGTACAAAAAAGTTATGCTTTTCTGAGATACTGAAAAGGTACAGAAACAGTTCTAGTAAAAAGGTACAATAAAGTTATAACTTTATTTAGGTACTAAAAAGGTACAAAAAAGTTATGCTTTTCTGAGATACTGAAAAGGTACAGAAACAGTTCTAGTAAAAAGGTACAATAAAGTTATAACTTTATTTAGGTACTAAAAAGGTACAAAAAAGTTATACTTTTCTGAGATACTGAAAAGGTACAGAAACAGTTCTAGTAAAAAGGTACAATAAAGTTATAACTTTATTTAGTTACTAAAAAGGTACAAAAAAGTTATGCTTTTCTGAGATACTGAAAAGGTACAGAAACAGTTCTAGTAAAAAGGTACAATAAAGTTATAACTTTATTTAGGTACTAAAAAGGTACAAAAAAGTTATACTTTTCTGAGATACTGAAAAGGTACAGAAACAGTTCTAGTAAAAAGGTACAATAAAGTTATAACTTTATTTAGTTACTAAAAAATTACAAAAAAGTTATGCTTTTCTGAGGTACTGAAAAATGGAGAAATCGTATTTGTTAGGTATAACTTTTTAAAGCTTCATAAACCTCTCATGTATTATGAAAAGGTATCAAAAAAAATCATAACCTAACCTTTACTGGATCTGTTGTTTAAATGAAATTCTATTTTAATAGAGTATTCCTTTGAAGTTACTATTATATATCACCTGCTTTCTTGTAGTTATTATCATATAAATAAATATTCCTTTGAAGTAACTATAATATAAATAATTTTCTTTACGTTACTATTATATGAATAAATATTTTCTTTTAGCTACTATTATATAAGTATTTTCTTGAAGTTACTATTTATCATCTAGATATTCTCTTGCACTTACTACATCAAAAATATTTTCTTGTAGTTACTATTATATAAATACTTTCTGTAGTTACTATTATTTTACAATATAATACACAATAATGCAATAAATATACTCTCATGCTGACTTTCAGGGAGTGCCCTGCATTGACTATGACTCTCTCCAGCTTTGACACTAGCATACTCACTTTTATTCTCTGGTATTCACAACTATTTCACATAACCATTCCTAAAATAATCATTAATAGAATATCTCTTGTAAAGTTACAACAAACAATCATATTAATAGTTCTTAAAAGTTGAAATGTCTCATTTGTTCTATGTGGTTGAGTTCCTCCTGGCCAAGCTGACCAAAGCACTGATTTTTGTCCTCATTGAAAACTTGATTTCTGACAGGCCACTTTTCCCATGAATCGCCTCAGCATAATCTGTTGAAAAGCAGATGGTTTAGGAAAAATAGCTAGTAACATAATTGCAACTTTATTAATTCTTTCTTCATCACTTAAAATTCTAGGAATTAATGAATATGAATGGTGAAATTATATTGGTAGCATTTTATGGTAAACTTGCTATTTATTATTCACTGACAGGCACCATTAATCAGTTCAAGTAGCTATAGCGATACTTTTGTAATTTCAGTGATATTACTACTACATAAAGAGAATTGCTGTAGAACTCTTTTCTTTTGTGCTGTTATGAAAAAGTTTTAATTCATAATTACCAATTATTGCTCAAACAATGGTCTGGTTCAAACCTTTCCCAGGTTGACCAGCTCAGTGTTGGTGAAGAACACTGACATCAAATATCTGTCGACCTGTTCCCCTTCGTCTTCCTCTGTGTAGTTTTTATGTGTTTGGGATACACATAAACCCCAGTCCCAGGTATAAGCTCCACCATCTGTCAAGATAAGGAGCAATAACACAATTTACAAAATAATATAATTTTGCAATTAAAATGAGTCTCCTAAACAAGCAGGAAGTAAACAAGAAATTAAAGACATGTTTACCTCTAATGTCTTATCTTGACACAACACAATAGCATTGTAACAGTTGATCGGATTGCTAATATATTTACAATATGTTGTAAAGAGATTCAAAATGAAAAGCTTTTCAGTTCATTGTGAGTTAATGGTATATAATATCTATATAAATGTAATAGCAAAATCTATCTAAATGTAAATACCAGTGCATTACTTATTTGTTGGCTTTGATCTGTTTTATTTTACCTTAAATACCTCCCCAACAAGAGCCGGGTTCAAAGTCAAGAGATCCACTTTGTCTCTGACCATTGGACCCAAATGACCTTGACCCTTAATTATAACCCAGTGACCATGATCTTTGGTCAGTTGACTTATTCTTTATTTCCGACCAACTTTGCTTTATAATACCATAACAAAATGTTCATCAGTAAAAAGTGTCATAAAGAAATGTTCACCAGTGAAAAGATACTAAATTTGACCTTTACCATTGATCTTGAATTAAGTCATGTCATTAAATGCTCATTCATGAAAAGCTACAAAATTTGACCTTAACCTTTGATCCAGTGACCTTGACCTATGACCTTTGGTCAGTTGATTCCTTGTTGAATTCTGATCAACTTTGCTTCATCATGTCATAATAAATTGTTAAGCAGTAAAAAGATACAAAATCTGACTTTGACCTTTGATCCAATGACTTTGACCTTCGATAAGTTGATTTCTTGTTGTATTGTGACCAACTTTGCTTCATGATGTCTTTACAAAATGTTTACCGATAATTTAAGAGCAAAAAAAAAATGTTTAATGTTAAAATCCAATATGGCTGATTAGCAGCCATTTTGATTCAGATCTGCCGAAATATTACCAAGCAGAACTAGGATGCATGGGAAATCATCATGTAAATTTTTTAAAAAACTTACACCATTTACTTCCATCAATATTGTACAAAAGAAAAAAAATGGACAGACAGACGGACAACCTGATTACTATAAGGGAACATACCCGCATCTTCGATGTGGGGCCCTAATAATTGTAGAAATCAAAATTCCAAAAGAAAGCCATTTTTATTTCAGCTTGTAACCATATAAAGGCTGTCAAATTTCAATAAGGTTAGACAAAAGACAGAGGAGTCTTCTGAGATTACAAAAGCTTAAACAAAAGATCACAAAATCAGTACCTTAAATCAATGAACTCACCTTTGTTTGATTTGTTTTCGGCACTGATTCTCTTTGCAGCAGGGGGTTGAGGGGGAGGTTCATGGACCTCTATAACAGACTCATGAGGTGGAGCTGAG